AGAGAGAGAGAGAGAGAGAGAGAGAGAGAGAGAGAGAGAGAGAGAGAGAGAGAGAGAGAGAGTGGAAGAGGAGAAGGGCAAGAGGGAGGGAGTGATCTAGCTGCGCGTTAGGTCTTGGAAGGCTAGATGATGAAGAATTGAATGGGAAAGGAGTGAGGGGTACTGAAGAGGGGGCAGTTGAGAAAGTGAGTGAGTCACTGATGGAGGTAAGGAAGGAGGTAGGAGTAACTGAGTGGGTTTGGAGGGAGCTAACAAAGAAGGGAGTGAGACAGTGAGGGGTTGAGGAAGGGAATGACAGAGGGAGTAGTAGCAGGCTGGAAGGACACAAGGAGCACGGAGAGGGAGGAAGAGAGCAAGTGATTGAGTGTGTTAGGAAGAAAAAGTGATACTAATAAATAGAGGGCGTTGCTAAGAGAGGTGTGAGAGAATAAGGAAGAAGGGTGGAGAGGGAGTGCATCAGTGAGGGGCTGAGTGAGAGAGATGGGGAGGGAGGGAGAGCACGAAAGCAAGAGAGAGAGAGAGAGAGAGAGAGAGAGAGAGAGAGAGAGAGAGAGAGAGAGAGAGAGAGAGAGAGAGAGAGAGAGAGAGAGAGATGGAAGGAGGGATGGATAGAGCGAGGGCAAAAGGGCGGGAGTGATCTACCAAGCGAGTTCTGGGAAGGCAAAAAGATCATATTAAATGGGAAATGAATGAGTTCAAACTTCAAAGGAATGAATAAATTCTAATCAATGAATGGAGGTGTGAACGAATGTAGTATCAGCTAGGAAATGATGTAAAGCAAAGCTCCAACGAAGGGCGGCAATAAACAGAAGAATGTTTTGTGTGGGGGGAAAGCAAGAATGGTGAATAGGATGGAAGACTAGTTGAATTAATGAAGGGATTGAAAGAAGTGAAAAGAGCAGATGAATGGAACAGGGATAAGGAAAGAGTTGCTACAAAAGCTGAAAAGGCTGAAACAAATGTACTCACTGTTGGTAAGAATAAAGAAGTGGCTGAGTGGTGTTAGTTAACATCTGTCGATAATAATATGGTTAAGAGTCTTTTTTTTTTTTTTTTTTTTTTTTTTTTAACAGCAAAAGACCCGTGCTGCGGGGCGTCTGATAGGAAATAGTTACGTCATGTATGTCCCATCCCTCGCCCCACCTTCTGTCCGTCAACCCCATGAACCACGTTTCTTGCCGACAAACTTGGCGGCGGTCACCTTTAGTTAACGCAGGGCGCTAACTAAGGGCGACTACCGGACACAGGTAGCTGAAAGAGGATAAGTGACTGTGATTAAAACTGATTTATACCTACTGAATATGGTTAAGAACTTAAGACTCGTAAGAGTTAAAATTTGAAATTGTGAGAACTTCCCTGTTGGTAGGGACTACCCCCCTTTGTTTTCAAAATAAAAAGAAAGGGGGAATGACTCCGAATGAGGTCATACTCCCACTAGCACTATCATAAATGTATTTGACCGCATTTGTGGCCGGACGTGGATGAATCTGACTGCAATTATCTCCAGAAACGAGTTAAAAACTTAAAAAGTCCGTATTGTGAGTATTGCCCTGAATCATGGTAGCCATCCGGGCATCAGCACCGGCTGGAATGCAGTGTATGGATACTGGGTCAGAAACCCTGTGCAGATGGGAGGGCCTCCCCTTTCTGTTTCATGATAGAGGAAGGTCGTAGCGATCTTGGCATCCGGACAGGTATCTGGACCGACCGGAGTCCAGTGTGCGGCTACTGGGTGTGGATCCCTGTCGGGATGGGAGGATCCTGCTCCAGTGGCCAATTCTTTTTTTGGGTGAGTCAGGGCGTTTTTTCACACCCTGAGCCACCTGGGAAAAGTGGGCCCCAGCCCTGCCTGCTATCCATACATGGCCAGACATAGGCTCTTCATCTATCCATCCACCTATCCATCCATCCATCCATGCATCCATCCTCCACTGCCGTCTCCTCTCCTTTCCTCTCACGTCCACTCCTCTCCCCCCCATGAGCTCTAGAATACCATCTTTCGTCCTTGGGTGGGAGGGCAGCGGAAGTGGCGAATCTGGCGATTGATCATCCATCCACACATCCATCCATACATGCGCCTTACCTTCTTCAATTGCCCCTCTCCCTGTCCCCACCATTCCACAAGTGTTCAAATCTTTTTTTTTTAATCTATATTCATATCTCCTCTCTCTCTTTACATATATATTGATATCTATAAAGCCTAAACCATGTCTCTCACAATGGGCCTTTGCACCTGGCTGACCGGTGGGACTCGGAGGGCGATGGCACAGGCCAGGTGTCTTTTCTATTTTTTCCTATGTGATTGCATCTAGATTCGACCTCGAGTCTGCATGTCAGCAGTTCCTTGGTGTGCCAACTGAGCGCGACCCATCGGTTTTGTATTTTCTTTTTTTTCATTTGGAGATTCCGAGTTCTCCAGTCGGTCGCTTCTAGCTCTATGTTTTCACCGTTCATCATTTCTGTCAGGATGACTTAGGACTCTCCTCTGGAGTTCTTTGACGAGTCACTTCACCTTGTGTTCCAGGTTTGCTCTCAAGACCATGCTGACACAGTACTCGGGTCTAGTTCATTTCATTGAAGGGAGCCCGTTGAAAGAGTCGGACCTGGACCGCGTGAGTGCAAAGGAAGCCACAGCTGTGTACTTGCTCGCCAACAAATTTTCACAGGTATGGAAAGCCAAAGACAACACTTCAGTCTTTTCAATAGGTGACAGAACAGGCCATGATGAGCGAGATGTGGTTAGGAGTTCTGCAAATTCTCAGGTGTTAATTCCTAAGATACTGTAAGCAAAGGTTGATGTGGCCACAATAAGTTGTTCAATCAAAAACCGGTGGAGTCATTGTGCAAGCGATTAATTTGAAATTGAAATTAAATGTACGAAGGACATGTATGTTGTTGAAATAGGTCATTATTTTTTCATTCTTAGCATTTTGTTGCATTAGCCTGCAAACAGGGAAGCCAGTTAGGGGTTTACTTCATCTTGCCCTGCTGCTGGTCCTTCATCTAGTCCTAGGTAGCATTATAGGCACTAGCCGCACTACAGTATTCACCACATTGTTGTTGTTGTTGTTGCTGTTGTTGTTGTTGCTGTTGTTGCTGTTATTGTTGTTGTTGTTGCTGTTGCTGTTGTTGTTGCTGTTGTTGTTGCTGTTGTTGTTGTTGTTGTTGCTGTTGCTGTTGCTGTTGTTGTTGCTGTTGCTGTTGTTGTTGCTGTTGTTGTTGCTGTTGTTGTTGCTGTTGTTGTTGTTGTTGTTGTTGTTGTTGTTGTTGGTGGTGGTGGTCGTGGTGGTGGTGGTGGTGGTGGTGGTGGTGGTGGTGGTGGTGGTGGTGGTGGTGGTGGTCGTCGTCGTCGTCGTTGTTGTTGTTGTTGTTGTTGTCGTCGTCGTGGTCGTTGTTGTTTGTGGTTGTTGTTGTTGTTGTTGTTGTTGTTGTTGTTGTTGTTGTTGTTGTTGTAACCAGACAAAGGCCCCTTCTATTCTGGGGGCCAACAGTCCAGTTACTCCTCCCCGGCAAGCTGAAAACAGGTTCAAGGAAGGGAGAGAAGGGGGGTTACAGCCAACGACCCTCGCCGCCCGAGAGACTCTGCGGGGGGGACTAGGGGGACATATCCCGAGTTATCTTGCTATCACCCGCTTGGGGCATACATAATGGCTGGGAAACAGGACTATGTACCCAGGCGCACATTATGCGTGCCACACGGGGACCGCACCTGTACCACGGGTGCTGCTCCAGTCATCGGGCTGCACTACGATTCTTGTAATCCACAACTAATCCGCTTAAGTTCCACTTCCCACACACCTGCATCTTGTCACATTGAATCACCAGTATTCCTCTACTAGGCCCCCTATACCACACACGTCATACCCCTATCGCGAGTCCACTTCTTCATCGAAAACACAGGCACCCAAGTTGTGCCCGGAAACACGCCTGGGTGACCGGCCGGCCATGAACCCCGGGCAGGGTCCAGTGGCAGCCCCAGCGCAAAAAAAAAATAAAAAATAATTTTAAAAACATCCAAAAAATTCTGGAAAAAAAAATGTTGTGGAGAATTGCAATACAAACAACTTTTGGCTGAGGTTCACATCAGAATTTCTCACGGAACTGGAGATAAAAAAGAAAATAAGCAAATCACATCAAGGCACCCCCCTTAAAACCCCTTTAGCGCCTAAAAAAAATAATTTTTACCCCCCTTGCCCCCCCATTTAAAGCCAACACTCGAAAAAAGAAAAGAGTCCGGATTTGGGCTCCTCGCCGAGAGCACGGAAAACCCCCACCGCCATTTTTTTCCTTATTTTATTTTCTAATTTTTTCCCATGCCCGGGTATCCCGGGCGTCAGACCTCCCCAGGCATCATGCCCGGGTGACCGGCCGGTCATGAAAATCTTCCTAGCCCTGCAACCCTTTTTTCTTGTTTTGTGCATGTTTGTGTGTTTTCCCACGCCTACTGGGGAATACCACCTGTCCTATCACCCCTGCCCCTAAACTCCTGGCTCTATGGCCGGCTTAAACCCCTACCTTCCTATCATACATATTACACTACCGCCGGTCCTACCAACTACTCGGCAGCACGCTATAGTACACTAGCACCTAAAGACCCCTGGCCTGGAAAACTACCATCATCGGCCTTATTCGTCTAGATCCGGGCATATTTTTGCAGAAGGGGCCCGAAGACAAAGCCACCCGTCTCAGAATCCTTCTTCACTAAAGCTGGGTATTCTCCCCAGGCTCTCAAAAATTTGCCGAGATCCTTCCCCGATTTCCACTTCTATCTCAACAGGTCGGCGAGCAGCACCACTCTCAGATTCTCTGGCGCTCTACAACTTATCCGCGGCATGGTTACCACCTTGCCTTGACGGACACATTCATTACGTAACGTCCAAATCGCCCAAAATACCGCCCCTCTGAGTACTTCGGCTGCATAAATTTTTTGCTTGTTCCCTCTAGCCACCGCCAGGAGCGTTCCCAGCAAGATGGCTGCGTCATCGTCCTCGGTCACTGCCCAAGGGGAGGGCTCGTCCATGGCTATCGCCCACCATCTCCAAAAGTCAGCGACTACAGGACAGTACACAAAGAAGTGGGGGATGGATTCCACCTGGCCACATCCCAGGTAGAGCAGAGCCCCTCAGTATGACAGCTCTTCGTGGCCAGCCACTGCACGGTGGGGACCGCCAGGTGGTAGATCTGCCACAGCAGACCAGCCTGCTTCTGGTCAAGGAGGTTCTTCAAAGTCACGCACTTCTCCTGGCACTTCCGGTAGGTCCACCTGCAGCTCCACACCAGGGAGATCCACTCCCTTTTCGCCCATCTAGTGTATACCACCTTCATTGTGATCTGATAGAGCGGAACACTTCCCCGATTGTGATTCTGAGGAGCGAGGCACCACTCTTATGGATCCAGCACAAGTTGCCTTCTCGGGACATTGAGGCAGAAAGGAAGATAAACCTCCTCACGCCCCTTGCCCCCCCTGCAAACCGACACTGTTTTGACCGTCAACGGGTCAACTGAGCAGCAGTGGGGGATGCCCTCCTCGTCTGTTCCCAGCAATAGATGACCTAAGCCGTCAAAACCCGACCTCACCAACCATTCGGTGGCCTAGAACTTCCCTCCAACCTGTGGCCCTTCAATTCTGTACACCACATGTGGGCGGGGTTCCCCCTTACGTTTTTGACCCAGTCCCCTTCCTGGAGACCACCTTTCTTCAGCACTTCGATCCACTGGTCCGGAATAGCCTCCCGCAGTTCAGCAAGTCTCTTGCGCCAGTTGAACTGTCTGGGCAAGCAGGCCATCATCTCACCATCTGACTTCCAATCCCTCCTCTGAGTATCCCAGAGATGTCCGACCTTATACACCCCCTGCTCCGCCCACTGTCGTCCAAACACTCCCGCCCTACCCTGCCATGGTTAGGGGTCTTCCCCCACATGGCAGACATCTGCAATCACACTGCTGCAACAATGCCGTGAATAGACGCCGTCTTCAACCAGCCGCTATCCACCACGTTGTTGAAGCAGTGTGATTGCAGACATCTAGCACAACTCCCTTCTTCTCCTTCTGCACCAGTGAGTTTGACTTTGAGGGCGGGCTTGGCCAGGCAGGTATCCCAGGGCAGGGCATGCTACCCAGGGCTAGTTTTATTCGAGAAATGTGGGGCATGGCATGAGAGCTGCATATGCATACAAGTTGAGTATTTAGGGGCAGGCGTGATATGCAGTACAATTCGAATTTGTAACATCAGGTGTTTACATCATTTCGCCTGTGTGTGCGAGGAACGAGAGAGTGTTCTTGCCTGGGCACAGTTCTGTCTCCGAGGTCTTTCACACCGTGCAATCAATCGCAATTCTGTTTCTTTCATTTGGAGGGTGCGGCCAGATGGGCAAGTTTTTTTTGAGAAAGTTTCCGTGCTTGTTTGATCTGGAAGAATCAATTATTGATGGAGTGACTAAGCAATCAAGCATGCCGATGAATGATTGAAGTTTGAAGAAAGCTCGGTCCTTGCAAACACTGAGGCTTGATCCTTTCAAACAATGAGGCTTGTCTCGTTTTCATGTGAAAATTGAAAACAAAAAAAGAAGGAGACAAACGGGGGCATGTTGGAGGAAGAGGAGACTGAAGGTTAGGGGGGTATACCTTGTGAAAGGAAGAGAGCAGAAAAATCGAAAAATCCAAAATCTTGAAAATCACTTGCATGCTCATCGCCATCGTTGGTGAGTTGGTACTACAAATCCATCAAGCCATGTGTTTCTGCAGCTATGCAGTGCTGTCCGTCGTGATGATGGGAATCTGAGCTGTTGACTCTTCTTCGTGGTGGTGGTGCCCTTGGATCTGTTTGTAATCCAGGACTACTCCCTTGAAGATTATGGGCAGATGGCCCGCGCATTGTCTGTTCACCAGTATTGCGGGCCCAGTGTACGGGTCCTCGTGGAACTGGTCAATCCTGAGAACAGGGGCAATCCAATTTGGGATGGCACTGGTGAAAAGAATGTGGGAGCGAGAAGCATAGAAACCATCTGCCTCCAAGAACTGCGCTTCAAGCTGCTTGCTCGCAGGCAAGTCTGTAAGATGTGCCTCTCATCATGTCTTTTAAACGCAAGCCACAACTGTCCTGAAACTTTCCTTCCAGGATGCATGCTTGCCTGCAGGCAAGTCTGTCTGCCAAGTCTGTCTGCAAATAGGCCGCACATCCTTTCTTCTATGCATGGCCCTGCTTAATATTTATAAACCCACACATCAAAATGTTTATCTCCAAAATAATTATTGTGATCTGTGCGAGGATCTTTTGAGCTCATAAGGCCGTCCCAGTCTGTTTACAACTTTACATGCGTGCCCCACTGCCATGTTCGCATAAACCGAGCTTAAGCATGTGACCATTTACCCTCACAGAATTTCTTTCAAGACGATTGCTTGCTCACCCCAAGTCTGCATGTCAGATGACCTCTGATCTGTTCCTGTGCAATTAATACCTCCTAAGAGTCCTCATGCATGCCCCCACAAAAGAAGAAAACATTTCCTATCGAGCACATTGATTGCTAGCAGGCAAGTTTGTCTGTCAGGTGACCTCCTGATCCGCGTCTGTGCCTGTCCCTAGCTGATTGCCTGCGCACAGCCAAATTTCGTTGTGAAAATGGGTCTCTGATCTAATGTCTCTCAAGTCGAGCATCAATTTCTCTGCTCTCCAGAGTTTTTTTTTTTTTCAAGTGGCTTGCTTGGAGGCAAATCTATCAATCGGATGGATCCCCTGTCCACTTGCCTGCATGCTGTTTCAAAATTTTCTTTTGCAGGCACCCTCATGACTGGCTTTCTGCCGCTCTCTCTCTCCATCCATTCATGGATCCATCCATGGATGGGATGGGATGGGATGGGATGGGGAGGGATAGGATGGGATGGGATTGGATGGATGGGATTGGATGGATGGGAGGGATGGGAGGGATGGATGGATGGGAGGGATGGGAGGGATGGGAGGGATGGAGGGATGGGAGGGATGGGAGGGATGGATGGTGGGGCTGGGATGGGATGGGATGGGATGGCATGGCATGGCATGGGATGGGATGGGATGGGATGGGATGGGATGGGATGGGATGGGATGGAGGGAGGAATGGAGGGATGAATGGATTGTCTGTCATTCTCTATGGATGGATGGATGGATTGTCTGTCATTCTCTGTGTCTATCTCCATCCCTATCTACCTACATCCATCCATCCCTCTCTCTCTCTCCGTGTCTGTCAGTCTCTATCTATCTCCGTCCCTATCTACCTCCATCCCTCCATCCCTCTCTCTCTCTCTCTCTCTCTCTCTCTCTCTCTCTCTCTCTCTCTCTC